GGGCTGCGGCTGTGTGTGCTGGAACAGTTAGAGATATTAAAAAGTAACAATAGTACCGTTGCATTGCTGAATGAACAAAGAAATGTTACTAACTCACCTCTCTTAAATATATTCAAGCCTGCTCTCTAATAAAAGAGATCCTCGCAATATGGTCGTTTGTCACCCTCACGGTGATCGGCGATTGGTTGCGTGGTTGGAGGGTGGGCGTTGCGCGGCGGTTTGTTTTTAATTTTACAAACGGCTGCGTAAGTCCGGCGGTGATTGGTCGCATGTTTTATCGCATGACGCAGTCGCTCGCTCCTTAAGTAGAGAGCGGTTGCGTCATCGGTCTGTATAAAAAGCACTTGTTTTGGCTCGCCGCTCACTTAGCGGTTAGCCACCGTAGAGTCTATATCACCTGAGGATGCCTCGTGTAGAGGCGAAACACGTGTCGTATTATCCTCAGTGGTGTGTCTTGCCTAGTGTAGTGGTGTTGGGAGTAGCGGTGCTGGGATTAGTGGTGACGGGGATAGTGCACGCAATTGAGGGAGGGCGGGAGGTGCTCTTCATACTGGGTAAGACATATCATTTTATTTTATAACGCGGATATTTGCGAAGTAAATTTTTCTAAAAGCTTTTATATAATGTATTTCCGCAAAGTAACGCCTGATTCTATTAATTATATGAAAAGAGTAGTTTTTGTAGAGTACAATAAAAAAAAGAAAAAAATATAGCGGTAGTTTTTGTTGCAGGACTTGTGTTATTATGTAAATTTGGCATAATGTCTCAAACATTTCTTGAAGAAGTTAGAAAGTTGTATTTACATAGCGTTAATGTGCGTATTCGACAGCGTTACGTTATCATTTTTTTTAATACCGGCCAGAAATCTAGATATTGCTTAAACTAATTTATAATGCAAAGTTTTATTTATTTTATTTTATTTATTTATACTCTTTATTGCACACAAAACACTACACAACACAGCAAACTTAAATTTATCAACGAATGTACAATTAGGTGGCCTTATCGCTAAACAGCGATCTCTTCCAGGTTTATTCCAAAGTTTATTTACATAACATTGAAATACATAAATTATCACACAGTCCTTTTTTTACATAGGGAAATGCCTTCGCATATCCGCCTCGCGGGGGCAATGACGGGTTATGTCGGACTCGCACCGACTAAAACGCTTTCGCACATATCCACGTCCCCACCAGCGCTGGCCGCCCCCTGGCAGCCCCTCCTCGAGGGAGGACTTCGCCTCCCCATTCTCCACCTCAGGTAAGGCGCATCAGAAACACAAGGCACACCTTTCTCCACGGCCCCCGACTCCACCTGCGAAACGGGCCCCCCCGAGTGCGATACGCGGAGACCATGGGGCCAGGGAAATCGAGCGCTCGGTAGCACCCACTTTTCCGACCCCAGCGGCGGATCTGGTCTTCTCCCGCGACTTCACCTTGGCTACAGCGGTAGGGGAAGAGGGCACCCCTGTCGCCGCAGCCCACCGACACAAATCTGAAGTGGGCTCGCCAAGCCCACTCGGAGTAGCCACCTCGGGCAGGCACCTTCATCACGAGTGACCAAGCCACGGCTACTAAGCCCCCCCCCGTGATGACAAGGCGAGAAACCCAAGGGGGAGGGAGGTATCACACAGTCCTACTCCCCGTGGTGTTGTGCGAAGAACGCTGGCTGCGTTTGCTCGCTGAATGGCTATATTTAGCCTTGGAGCGAGAAAAGAATCATCGCTCTTATCACCAGTAGCGATGACCAGTCGCGGATATAGTTCGCGTGGACTCCACGGACCGATAGTCTCTACAGCAAATGGCACAAATATATTGACTACAGACTATGACTCTCTCAGAGACTCATATTTGTGCCATAATGCAAAGTAGTAAAGTTACAGTCTATATAAAATGCATCTTATATGTCTCACTCCAGGGCACAGGCATTCTCATTTCTGAGAGGTTTTGAGGCCTAGGAAGTATCTAACTCTCTGTCCTAAGAAATCTTTGCGGACTTCATTTTTCTTTGAAATATTTTTTTAATTTCTAATTTAGGTTTTCTCACGCTATTTTGGAAATGGCGGATGTTATGACGGGGGACGTCTAGGATATGATTACAACAAACTGCAGACTTCGCCAATATCAATACACTAACGCTCCGGGAAGTCTGCAGTTTGTACTCATATCCTAGACGACCCCGCCATTACATCAGATTTGATAAAATATTTGGTAGAGTAGAGTAGAGTGGAGTGGAGTGAAGTGGAGTAGGGCGAAGTGGAGCAGAGTGGATTGGAGTGAAGTAGAGTGGAGTAGAGTAGAGTAAAGTATGTTATAGTATGGTAGAGTAGAATAGGGTCGAATAGGGTAGAGGACCGTAGAGTATGGTATAGTAGGGTAAAGTTATGATGAGTTTATTAAACGTGGTAGACCCATGCTGCAGCTATATTAATTGTATAGTTGTAGCACGAATGGGTCGGCTCGACCGGGGAAGGACCACGCTCTCTCAGAATATGGTGAGTGTAGAGAACCGAAACTGCTTTTTACTGGAAAAGAGATATTCCATCTTAGTCCTCACGGCTGACAACGCATCTGCATTTTGATTTGCAAATGTAGATGTCTATGGGCCAAAGCAACCACTTACCATCAGGTGTACTGTGTGTCGCTTGTTATCCTTATCCTATAAAAAAGTTTATAAATAAACATTTATAATATAGTTTTTTTTTTTGATTATCCACCAGAGATTACACCATCCCTAGTAGCCGTTTATTAACTAATGTTACACATTTTTAATATAGTTTTGTAAACAAGTTCAAGATTATTATACAAAGACGGCTAATTACAAACAGCACTGCGATTTGATACAGTGGTCTTGCTTTGACTGTACGAGTAAATAATAATAAAATTTACGAGTCTCAGTACTATTTACAAATTTTCTTATTACATACACTGTATATACACTAGAAATATTTAACGTTTTAGGATTATTAAAGAAAATGTTGTTAATATAAAATCATTAAAACGAAAGAACTACATAACTACAAACCGTTTCATATTAAAAAAAGTCGTAATGAATATGGCAGACACACACCTTTATCATCTTTGTTGAATGCATTCAATTCAACATTTCAAAATTGTGGGTATCCATTTTGATAGCTTAAACGTTTTAAAGAGGAAGGTACTAATACATTACACAGCCAAATAATTTTTTAATTTTAAAAGTTTTTTTACTTCCTATACATTATATAAATTAGGTTTTTTTTGTTTGTTCTAATTTTATTATTTTATTGTAGTGATAGTTTTATAGGTTACTGTTCTCCTTAAAGGAAGTCTTTTATTATATGTTGTGTTTACCTTTAATTTAAATGCATATATACAATTTCTTTTTTAAGTGCACCTCATAATAATTGTTTCTATATATATTTAGTTGGTAAGCCTTATTAAATAAATAAATAAAAAAAAGAAAACTCTCAATTAGTTACATTTGTCTGGAAACTAGTTGATATAAACTAATGAAATTACTAATAAAATCAAACATGAATTGTAATAGGTACCATAAAATCAAAAGTTTTATCTATATTATGCCTAAGTTATATCTAGGTATTATTAATTTTTTTAAGTCTGTATACAATTGTTTTAACAAATTTAACAAAGGAGTTCAGGGTTGATTCTTTCTTAATGAGTTCGGCTATTTTAAAGGGAGACACACCAGAAATGTTACAGATTAATTCATGATCATTTCCCGCGGCACTAAACGCGGGACATTGTTGGAGTAGATGTTCAATAGTTTGCGTAGCTGAATAATCGCAAGGGCATTTGTCATCTGCGGTGATTTTAAATCTGAACAAATAACTTTTATGGTATCCGTGGCCGGTGAGAACCTGAGTCAAGTGAAAACTCATATTGGTAGCCGCTCTGTATGAGATCCAGTGTCGGTAGTAATTCTCTAGTATGTTTGCCTGTTTCAGAGCTCTCATACCTGGTTTGCCAAAGAGTGTGCGTCTCAATTTTAATTCTGTGTTTTATGTAAGACGTAGGTGTTGCGAAATAGTCAGGTGCCTTGTGTGTTTTGGCTCCTGCTTTAGCCGCCATGTCTGCGGCCTCATTGCCAGCTATGCCAGTATGGCTCTTGACCCAGGCAAAGTCGATGGTGCCAAAACATTTGTGTCGGTGAATAGTATGGTGAATCTTGTTAACAATTGGGTGTGTATTGGATCTGTCTTGTATGGAATGTAGGGCCGAAAGAGGGTCCGTGTAGATTACTGTACACCGCTTATCAGCTGCCCATTCACAAGCCTTAAGGATTGCGAACAGTTCGGCCTGGAATACAGTGCACGTTGAGTGGAGTTTATATTTCTTTATAGCTTCTATCGAGCTTTCCGTATGTGCGTTATTGTATGTCTGAGTGGTTTTGTCTGTGTGTCGTGTGGAATGGTAACAGACAAAAGCAGCGCCAACTGCTCCGTCTTCCAATTTGCTGCCATCTGTGAAAATTTTTGTTGCCTCAATTCCAACAAGAGCATCGACTTCCGCCTGTGAAGTGGTGAGTTTAGGATTGATTTTAAGTCTCTCTGCTGGGTGTAGTAATTTGTGTATGGGTGTGGGTTTCTCTAAAGGAAGATCGCTGGGAATGTAATGAGAAGTGCCTGTAAGTCTAGACTTTTCAATGTTGTGGACTTGCCTTACTTTAAGATCTAGGGGTATCAGATCAGCGAGAGCTATGGCCACAGACGTAGATACTGTGCGGAAGCCTCTTATTGCTTTAATAGCAAAGCCACGCTGTACATCCTCAAGGCTCCTCCTGATGCAATTTTTATGGGCTACATGGCCTCATACACCAGCAGCATAAGTGATAATAGGTTCAATTACTTGCTGGTATATGGTGCGGATGTTCTCAGGATGAGGCCCCCAAGTAGGTCGCGTGTAGATGCATAAGGTGTTAAATAACCGCACAGCTTTATTAATCACATAACGTACATGACGGCCAAATAAAAGCTTCTCGTCTAAGATGACCCCCAGATAATGGACCTAATTTATAGTAATGACCTCTTTGTTTGCAATATCGAAAATACACCAACGTTCGAAGCCGTCACCCGCGGCCGGGTACGTTCGTCGATAGTCGACATTACATTGGCCTCGGGTTCCATTCTGGAATACATATCCGACTGGAAGGTTAATTTAGAGGCATGTCCATCCTCCCAGCACAACGCAATAGAATTCCATATCAATTATTCACACGCACACACACAGATACACGCCATCTCTTCTCCTGCCGAACAGACAAACAACAGACCCACATCCACATTTTTGTATAAATCAAACAAAGCTTGTTGGCCTCTTTTCAAAGAAGCTCTTCACCTACGCATGACTATGTCAAATGTCCTTGACATAGATATTTCATCTCTGAGTCCTGAAGGGTTAGAGGAGGTTATCGACAGGGTCAGTGACATCATCAACTCCGCTTGTCGCTACAGCATGCGTATTGCAGGAAGGGGAGCAAAATACAAACCACCGTGGTGGACTGAGGAACTGGAGGCCCTTAAACAGGAGGTTATTAACACTCATCGCATGACTCACTTACACAAACACCGCAATGTGCCTCTGGATGATCTGCTGATAAAGCTAGCTACCAAAAAAACAGAATACTCTAATAAATTAAGATATGAATCAACTAAACACTTTAAGGAGTTCTGTAATCTTCAGACAAAAGAAAATGTGTGGTCACTGACAAATAGGCTTCTAAAAGCAAACGGACTAAGACGGGCCCCAGTCACCTTGAATCTGGGTAATGGGTACACTAATAACGCAATAGAAACAGCCGATGCTATTTTAAACCATTTTTATCCTCACGACCTACCTGATACAGAACCCAGACACCATCAACTCAGAAATTTATTCAATACTCTCCCACATACACAGGACGACCCACCTTTCTCTGGAGCGGAGATACTGGAATATCTTAAACAAATGAACTCGAATAGGGCCCCGGGTGTAGATAACCTTACGTCTGACATATGCAGCCAATTTGCTAGTGATTATACTAAATTGCTTACGGATATATTTAACCGATGTTTATCGCTACGGTATTTTCCAAAACAGTGGAAAGTCGCTTATGTAAAAATTATTCCCAAACCGGGAAAGATGGGCTGTAGAGAGCTGAGTTCATTTCGCCCAATAGGCCTCTTGCCTGTATTTGGCAAGGTGTTGGAAACGCTGTTTATTAAACGAGTAACACACTGGGCTGGAGTCAATAACAAAATCAACAATAAACAATTTGGCTTTACTAAACATAAAAATAGTACACAGGCTATCAATACTGCTCTTAAAATTATTAAACAAGCCAAAGAGAATAAGAAATTAGGTATCGCTGTCTCACTAGACATCAGAGCAGCCTTTGACAATGCCTGGTGGCCGTCTCTTTTACAACGACTGCGGCATATTGGCTGCCCTGTCAACATTTTCGGACTCATAGACAATTATGTTCGCGATCGTGAAGTGCTACTTGACTACGCGGGTGTGCGTGCCTCAAAAATAATGTCTAAGGGCTGAATTCAGGGCTCGACATGCGGACCAGTAATCTGGAATATTATTCTAGACGAGCTCCTTGACATGGAACTTCCAGGGGGCAGCTACATACAGGCATTTGCGGACGATGTGATGCTGGTAGTCTCTGGGAGTGTTGACAGTTTGCAAAATATTACCAACCATGCTCTCCATAAGATAGCCGAGTGGGGAACCAGCGTAAAACTGAATTTCAGTCCCTCGAAAACACACATGATCGCTTTGACTCCTAAGGCCAAAGCTGCCAGCATCACTATGGGCGGATATGATCTCAGCTTTTCATCGGAAATATAATATAGTTATATGTGTTTCCTTTTTTTTTTTCTTCCCTTTTACATATATATTTTAGATATTAAGTTTAATATTTTACAAGATCGATACGAGGGAACGTATTCTCAATTGTGTTTTAGTTATGTCATTGTCATGTACAGTTATTATAAATCTAATTTTAGAGCTAGTACAAGGTTTACTTATACTACGAGAATTTACAGTTTAAATTGGAAAGGATGTCAATATAGTCTGTGGTAAGTTGTTTTCCTGGTTTTCCCACATGTCATGACATGATGAATATGTTGATAATGAATATTATAAATATGTGGGAAATAATTCTGTTCTAACCAGAGGCGGATTATATTTTAACAGCGCCCTAGGCTAGTAGCATCTCATCGATGTCCCACTGGCGACCATATAATATATTAAATTATAATTAGGTATTCATATTGTTGTTAAATTATATTATACGTGGTACAGCCATGCTGCAGCTATATTAATTGTATAGTTGTAGCACGAATGGGTCGGCTCGACTGGAGAAGGACCACGCTCTCACAGAATACCAGCGTAAAATAGGAGCTTAATGCCGCTGTTTCGTATAGTGAGTGTAGAGAACCAGAGATCCTTTTTACTGGAAATGAGTTATTCGATCTTAGTCCTCTAGCTAACAACGCATCTGTATTTTGATTCGCAAACGAAGATAGATGTAGATGTCTATAGGCCACAGCATTGTAGGCAGTGAAACTGCCGACAAGCTCGCACGAGAGGGCTCAAAGAGTACACAATTTGGACCCGAGCCTTTTTGTAGAATCTCAAAAAGCCTCGCCCGATTGACCCTGAAAACTCTTTACCACAGTAAATTACTTGAGGTCTTGTCTGATACACCAGGCTTAAAATATTCTAAAACCTTAATCCGGGTTTTCGATCGTAAATTCGCTTCGGAAGCTCTGGGATTAGGTAAAAATAAATTGCGCATTCTGGTAAGTGCCCTGACTGGACACTATTGTCTTAAAAAGCACATGTTGTTATTAGCTTCGCGTGTTTCTATCTATCTGTGTAACGTAATATTTTAATGTAATTTTCACCAACTTGTAGACGGCCGATTGGCTTGAAAATTTACACTCGTATCAAGGACCGATTACAATATAAATAAAAAATAAATAATATAAAATAAAATAATAACTTTATCCTAGTGTCAAAATAGATAAAAGGATAAAGAAAAATAGGAATAGGATAGGATATTTCTTTGTGACAGAATCTGAACCTACCTCTGATATTATCTCAAAACCGCTACAATTGCTACGTATTCTATGTGGCGTAGCTTTCTTATCTTTCAGAATTTGGTTTGTAAACAGTAAAGACAATTTACAGACTTACAGTTTGACTAAGATAGAACGAATATCTCAGAGCGAGTAGGTACACATTATTGTGGTGCTATAATGGCCTGCGCAATGAGAACGTCCATTACCTTTTCTGCTACAAGGGCGGCGCAGCGCTACTTAGAAATGAGGTGAAATATTTGACAGATTGCATGACGAGGAAGTTAATTGTTAGAAAAATGTAAGGGTTAGTGTTTCTTTCTGAAATATTAGTTATATTTTATTAGAATAATAATGAAAGAAAGATAAAGAAATAGTTATATTTTTTAATATAATTTTTATAGGAAACATAAAAACAAAAGCTAAAAAAGAAAAGATTAAAAAATATGAACGGGTATTGCTTCTTTATTATCTAAAATAGCCTTAGTTATCTGTGTGTATACGTCTGGCTGGCTTGGTATCCATAAATGAGATCTCATATGTTTATACCAAATTAAAGAAATGAACAGCGGTTGTGTTAGTTTAAATATATTCACAAAAGAATGTCGTTTTTCCATCATAGGTAAGCTATTTATAGCAAAGCTAACTATTAAGACTATGCGTATCCATAAACAAATATCCTTTAGTGACGCATTGTATGTAGGAAGGTACGCAAAAGAATCAAACATAATCATAGAATACCGCAGATCATCTTCGTGTGTACATATTTATTACCTACTTTGTTCTACAAGTAGATATGTAACATCAGCGGCGGCCTTAGGGGGTGGCGAACAGGGCAATCACCCGGGGCCTCGCTCTTGCAGGGGCCTCGCGCAACAATCCAAGCAAATTTAAAAAAAATTGATTTTTTTTTACTATATATTTTTTATTTGAAACTTTTGATTTTGATCCTTAATTACTTATTAAGATTATAACATCAATTCAATCAATTTTATTGAATATTACGTTCTTATAGTATTTGAAGTACTGAGTAAGCTGAAAAAGGGTAAAAAACTGTGTGATGCTTAAAATTATTTCTAACTGTTTGTGCAAAACAAAACAAGATTTACGAAATAAGTTCTCGTAATCGTGATGCCGGTAGAAAATTTGAGCCAGGTAGTTCAAAAGGAAACGAGCTATCAAAAGAAAGCAGGCAAAAGAAAATCTACCTGGATATTTATATATTTATATAAATATATAAAAAGTGATGATCAAGAAACCTCTACAAAACATTTATTGACTGAAAGTGACTCTAATCCTGTTCCAGCTGAAAACATTCCTACCACATTATCATGGGTTCCGCCGCCGTTATTAAGTAAAAACAGCGAGGGTGATGATGAATTAACTACATAATTGTCTCTTAAGTCACCGGTGCTTCCGTCAACGCTATTCAGTTAAGAACACGAATCTGAGCCCGAGTCTATATCTCTATCCATCTGAATCTGAATGGAATGTGAATGTGGAATGGAAAATCTGAATCCTCAAAATAATCCCGGATTATGGCCCATAACAATTAACTGATGTACACCAAACTGAGATTGTATTAAAAGGTCCAATCCAGGTTAAAGTTGATTTATTTCCCGTAAATGATAATGGTCGGCGATTCAGCGAATATCATTATAATAAGATATATTAGTTAATGGTGAAATGCTTGACAGGCGCTGGATGATATATTCACAAACAAAGGATGCCGTTTACTGCTTTCCGTGTCAAATATTCGGGTTAGAAAATACAAAGATTGGATCAAGTGAAGGAGTGTGTGATTGGAAACACTTGAGTGATTACCTAAAGTCCCACAAATCCGGTCGGCAGCATAAAGATTGTATGTTGAAATGGATTAATTTAGAGAATGGATTAAAAACCTGATCCACTATTGACTTCTTGGCTCAGTCACAAATTGAACAATAAAAGACAACGTTGGAGAGATATTTTACAGTGATTGCTCGCAATTGTAAATTTTTGAGCATCTCGCAATTTGGTCTACAGAGGCCATAGAGAGAAGTTGACATCTGACTAAGATTCGAATATTGTCTCACTCACGGCAACTCTATAGATTTAGTTAAGTTAATAGCCCGATTTGATCCCGCGCTGAGACTTCACCTAAAAGAAGTAAACGATAAGACGATTAATGACCACTATATCAAAAAAGTATTCAAAATGAGCTCATACAATTAATGGCAAGTCACGTGAAGACTCCAATTATTGAGAAAATAATAAATAATAAACAATACTCGATTATTCTTGATTGTACTCGCGACGTTTCTCGTATTAAGCAACTTTCAATTATTATAAGATTTTTTAATACAAATACAGCTGAAATTGAAGAACATTTTATTGGTTCCTTAGCCGTCGAAAAAACTACAACTGAGAGTTTGACTAATTATATAATCGCAGAATTGGAACAGTTAGGTATATCATTGCAAAACTGCAGAGGCCAAGGATATGATAATGGTGCCAATTATGCGTGGTGAAAAAAGTGGTGCCCAAAAATTTATTCTTGAAATTAATCCACTTGCGTATTTCTTACCTTGTGGGAGTCATAGCTAGAATCTCATCCTAAGAGATGCAGCATCGTCTTGTGTCCTAGCAAAATCTTTTTTTGGTTTGCTACAAAGACTGTACATTCTGTTTGCCGGCTCAAGCCAGAGGTGGGCTATTTTAAATGATCATGTAAAGTCGTTATCGCTAAAACCACTTTCTGAAACTAGATGGGAGTGCAGGGTAGCATCGGTGAAGGTCGTTAAATACCAACTAAGCGATATATGTGGTGCTTTAAAGGATTTATCAGAAAATACAACAGATTGTCAGTTGGTGAGTGAATGACAGTCTATAGAAAAGGAAATAACTACCTACGAATTTGTAGTTTCACTTGTCGTATGGTATGATATTCTTACAAAGATAAATGTTATAAGTAAAATGTGGCAAAGCGAAAACATGCACTTAGATGTGGCTATACAGCACCTAGACGAATTCACAAATTAGCTCGATAATTATAGAGAAAATGGTTTTCAGTCATCCCTTGTAACAGCGAGAGAAATAGCCGAGGAAAATTATATTGACAGACAGTTCAAAGAAGTCAGAAGACGACGTAAAAAAGGCATTTTGATTATGAAGGGGAAGAATAAGAATAAACTATTTTTATGTCATTGTCGACAATGTACGCGCAAGCTGCCATCCTAGGTTTGAGGCTCTTAAAGCATAGAATCTAATATTTGGATTCATGTATAATATAAAAAGATTAAAAGAAATTAGTGATAGTGAATTTTTGAAGCAATGCAGCGATTTGCAAATATCTATGACAGTAGCAGACTCATGTGATATTGATGGACATGAATTGTAGGAAGAACTGAATATACGCAGACGTTCAGCTCATTTGTTAGATTATTGTACTTTAATCAAAAATTTAATAGGTTTAAAGAT